GTGCACAGTGAGCACACACCAGCTCAGAATAGCAGTATTTTTATGTCCCTTTTGTATTCACTGTGCACTGGCATAAGTGACTTTTTGAGATGCAGGGCAAAAAGAACCTAGAAATGAGTCCACAATTTCCTTCAGTAGCAAGATGTAAATTGGTGTAAATTTTTGTGAAATCTCAGCACCACACACAAACCCCTCAGATATTGATGTTTCACATTAGCCCTATTTCAAACCACTATTCACTGGTGAAAGCTAGTGTGTGTGTGGGGGGAGGGATAGTAATTTATAATAAACAAACAAACTCACAAAATTGTTCATGCAACTTTTAGTCTTATTCTCCCTGAGCATCAGGATCTAGTATCCCCATCCCATGTCTGTGCCCTCTTCCCCCCACCTCCAACTCTCCCCCATTTCAGGTTTCACAGATTATCTAAGAACTAGGGCATTAAAACCACGCTAAGGTTGTATGGCCAGTTCGATGAGGTTGATTTGTTTGATTCTTGGTGGAGTTTTTGTTCTTTTTTTCAATATGTTACTTTGCTAAAGTTTAAAAGGTTCTAAAATAAAAAAGTCCCAAATTGAAAACCTATCTGGCCTCTTATTCCTGTTGAAGGCACATTATATTCATTAGAAACAAATAGTTTCCTTCTTTGTGAAACCTATAGTATGTGTGTTCATCCCATTATGTCAGATTCTAAAACTGTGTGGTGGTAAGGAGTTATTCTTTTGATCCAGCCTGGCAGACAGATCAGTTGGGTCACATTAGTGCTTATTCAGCAGTATTAAAGGTAGTGTCTCTAAAGCAAATGAGAGACAGGGAGGAAGAAAGGAAGTCCTGTAGGAAGAAACCCTAGGAACAGCTAAACTAGTTTTGTGTGTGGTGGTGTTATTCTGACTAAAGAAAAAGCCCAGGATTAGGCTGTAAGTTTTGGACAATAGTGCATGGTGTGTGTGTGTGTGTCTGTGCACACATGTACATGCTATGGTGACAATGGGATGGAGACCCTAGTAATGCGTATATACTTTTAAAAGCAAACAGAACTAAAGCAAGGGCCTGTCATAAGTTATTGGCTGTATCATTGTCTGGCCATTGCAGGGCTATTTTCACAAAATCCTTCTCTTTATTACAGTATGTCTATTATATTTTTGTTCCCTTGGAGCTTCCATGTCAAGACCCATTAATCATAGAACAATCATTAAAAATCAGTCATTAGGCTTTGAGATCATAGGGAGACCTCAACAACCTGAGTTATAAATCTTAACCATGGAGTCTAGCACTTGTGAAAAATTGGTTTATGTGAAACAGATTGTTTCTAAATTAATTCTGCTTCATGACAGCTAAAAGAACCAACAAAAGCCAATAACAAATAAATGGTACATAAATAAAGGAAAAATACCACTCAAGAAACAGAACTTGCTATAAGTGAATCAAATTAGCAGATGAACAATTAAGGGGTAATGCTAATGGTTTGTGATTTAATACTATGCTAATAGTCTCCTTAGGAGAGAGAAATGCTAAGGCTGAAACTGCCAATACTGGGCTTGATATTCTAATTCAAGCCTCTTAATTATGCCCCAGAGTGCTCAGTCCCTACAGTGCTCAGAGGAGTTGAAGGCAATATAAGACACTATTCTGATTGCTGGAAAATTCTGGTACATTCGGTTCGGCTCAGGTTTCAAGCAAGAATTTGAGTGTGAAAGGGGGAAGTGGGCTTAAATGTGTCAGAAGGTCTTGGAAACAGCCACAGCTCTGTGAGTTCACCTTCTTTGTTTTCTCTGAATTAGTTCACACATCTCTAATTATTATGTATTTTAATCTCCATCGGGCTAAATCCTTCTATAATCATTATTAAAGGTGCAGATATCTGTTCTTGCAAGGTGCTGAGTGACTCCTGGGAAGTGCTGAGAGTCTTCTTGAAGTCAGTAGCAATTGAGAGCTTTTGGGTTTGGTGTTTGTTTATGTCAAACTTCAGTACAGAAGCAGAAATCTCCTTTTTCAGCTTTTCTAGATTTATTACTTATGATCAACTCTTCACAGCTCAATACAGCATATAGGTATGAAACAAATAGGTAGTATCTCCTGCTGAGCAAGTTGTCGATAACTCACTTTCTGTCCATGTTAGATAAAAGCAAGATGGCTTTTATCACACAGAAAGCTTGCAATACATGTGCCACCATTGTTTGGGAATTAGTAGTGTCATCCATTCTAAACATTCACTGATTAAGACTGAAGTACAGAAATACAGATCTTCAATAAAGAGCAATGTTCAGTGTGTCCTCTTTGTAGCTGACAAACTGCAAGGACTTTAAAATTGAAATAATGAAATGCCCAATTGCACTAGGGTTAGAATAAGTGCAGTGCACCAACTCTATTGTATCTTTTTCATTGGTGTGTTTTGAGGCTTAATTAATTAATATTTGTAAAGCATTTTTATATCCTTTGATGGAAGAAAGGTCTGATTGAAACATAAAGCAATTTTGTTAGTATATTGCCTTCATTAATTTTAGAGATTCAGTAATGAGCTACGTGGCAGGTTTTGTGCTACTGCTGTGTATATGTTATATATATGTTATGATGATTGCAGGAGCAAATTCTGCTCTCAAATACATGCATACTTCTTCCATTGGTATCGGTGGAAACTATACATGCATAGCCAAAGGCACAGTATAAAATTTCTACCTTGAAAATTTTTTCAGAGCTCATCTTTCAAAATTCGGATTTTTTTCAAGTAGTATCACTTTGTTAGATTTAACATACTCTAAACAAACTCTTCTACTGTTTGTATTGTTTTCATATATAGAGAATGCAAAATCATACAGTGATTTCTGGAATGAAAATAAAATGTTTGATTCACATTCATGCCATAACCCCCATGCCAATAAAGCTCTGTGCGTCACAGTATTTCTAGGCATCACAAATGGTAAAAGAAGACAAAAATGAAAACAAAGAAGAAAACTACCCCAAAAAGACAGTTCTGTGAAATTGAAAAATATCTTAATACATGGACCTTTCAGGTATATTTAGGAAGATGCCTGAGGATTTCTACCTTTACTGAATGTCATTTGGTTCATGTTTGATTATTTTTTAATTAGTTCCTGGAATCTCCGAGTGCTTTAGGCTAAGCTCTTTCATCTACTGTCAACAAAAGAGAGAACACATTTCAAATGCTTCCATCTTGATTATATCTTTCCTTTTACATAATTGAAGGCAATATATAGTATAAGCACTGCCTTAACATTTGAAACAAATTAGTAAAAATAGGATAAAAACATGGAAATTGAGTGTATGTTTGGATTTTTTAAATGTATATTTACATTTATTCCTCTTTATTAATGATGTCATTCATTATGTCAACTATACCCAGAAGAATGGAGAAACTCAGTCAATTTCTAAAGTGTTGAGGGTGCATGGATCTCCCACTGAAGTCAATAGGAGTTGTAGGTGCTCAGATTGTGTCAGGATTTGTCTCCAATTGAAGATTTGTAAATGGTAGGATTTAATAATACTTCTGATTAATTGTTAGGAATCCGTGAATGGATTAGCATTTATCTCTTGAATTTGCAACATTATTCAGAGTCATATGGGATGTGACTCTTATTTGTTTTATGGTAGCACTTACAGACCCCAACCAAGATCTGTACAAATGTAGTCAGAAACACTTTATGCGTCAACCTTATCATGTAAATAGACAAGACAGACAGAATAGGAGAAAGAAGGTGTTAGTTTCCCATCTGCAAAATGGATATACTAAGTCACAGAGGGAGGGAGTGACTTGCCAAGGGTCACACAAGCAAGTGTATGACAGGACTGGGAAGTGAGCCTTGTTCTCAAGTCCCAATGCATGTGACCACAAGGTTAACCTTTTTCTCGTAAGCTTTTCTTAAAGAAGAACAGGAGTACTTGTGGCACCTTAGAGACTTAGTGAGGAATGGACCAAGAGACGCTGGGAGAAGACTGACTGCACCAAAACACCATTTGTATGTCTGAGAGGTGATTAGATACATGATTATGTTAGGGATGCGAAAACTTGTTTAGGCAAAGTAAGATCTAGGGCTTTGGCCATTGCCCAACCAGAACCCAGATCTTTGTTCAGGTTTACATAATTTTCAGAGTCTTCCCCAGATCCAATCACTCCTCACGTGCAATCTTCCTTATGGATTCTGCTCCCCCTCACTTCTCTAAAAGCTGTCACCATTCCTAACTTTGTTTTGCCTTTCTTCTACTGCACTCACCCTTGCATGTGTTTAGATGTTATGCAAGGATGTCTGTCTCCTTGCTGGACTTAATACTCTAGATCTTCTCAGTCATTTGTTCCTCAGAATGAAGAGCTTGCCTCTCATGTGAAATCCCAGAATTTGAAAGGTAGTGTTTACCAGAGTAGACCTTTGGAATAGTAATGAAAAGTGCCATAATGTTATCTTTTTCTAAAGGCAAAATTGGAAATGTTTTCGGGATGATCACTTGTATGGATACACACATACATAAATCTCTAGTGCATCCCTGTAACAGTTTGGCAACATATGAGGCCAATAATGGTGTGTGTGTGTGAGATTCAGAAATTTGGAAGATTGTAAAGTATTTGCAGTGGGTTTCTTATTTTTGCCCTAAAACCAATATTTACTGGCAGAAGCTCTTCTTTTCCCCAGCTAATTTTTTCAAGCAAATATTGCTACCACCACAAGACTGGAAATTCTGATGATAATTCTGTGTATAATTTTCACTTATATGACAGGTTTAATTAAAATGGTGTTTGTAAATGGTAAAAGTCAATAGTTTAAACACACCTCCCACTGAGGCTACATTACTCTTTCATCTCCTAATTTATAAGCACTAATCAATTTGACTCCTCTGTGCGATCTTAACACCTTTTTTGTTGTTGTGGCAGTAGTTAATTTGGAGAAAGTACTGAAAGAACATTTATTATCCCTGATCTTTCAAAAAGAACAATTAAGTGCAAAGTAGTAATTAGTGTTGCTGACTTGAGTTTGCTTTCCTCTTACAGGAAGGAGGTGTTGTTGCTCTCTTTAAGATCTGCCGCCAGGATTGTTTCAGGTGCCTTTATCCCCAGACTCTCAGAACACTGGCATCCATATGCTGTGTGGAGGAAGGGATTCACCAGCTGGAAAAGGTATTGTTATTTCAATGCTCTTTACGGTGATTGTTCAACAAGAACAGTGGAGTCTAATCGTTAATCTCGTCTAGTAATTGGTAACTTGGGAATGTGTTTGGATTCAGTTCAGGCTTGTGTTTGATACCCTGCTTGGTGATGAGCTCAATTTTCCCACACTGAGCACATCTTCAATGTTTACACTATTAGTTTCAGCAATAACATTATACCGTTCAATTGTCTGTACAAATGATCTCTCTAAGTAGGGATAATTTCCATAAGGCAAGTAGATGCATTGATGGCTGTGTCAAGAAATTATTGAAGTAATTACCGCTGGACTTGTTAAAGTCTTTGTTTAGAAATCCCAGTGTTCCAAATAACCCAACCCTTGAAATGTGGAGAGCTTTAAACATGTTTAAGCCCTTTTTTCTGACGTCCCTGCAAGGCACCTCTGTAGTAATGAGGCAATGTATAAGGGGTATAATTGCACTAGTATAGAGACAAATATAATAGCTGAATGTTAGGAAGAGGCTTCCACCAATAAGCAATAAGTCATGTAGAAGACCATTTTAACACTGATAGCTGACATGAAAACATTATCCCACAAAATTATTTGGACTGCTTATACTTTAATCCACCATCACCCACAAAAGTACACTTCTATATTTAGGAAAATGAGCACTTCTACCAGTCACTAAATCATGATCTCATCCTTTGTGTTTCATAAAACACTCATCTTCTACAGTTGAATAATGTGCCTCTTCAAGTTAATGATAAATTATTTCACTGCTACTTTACATTGACATGTCTTGTAATTTACTACCCAGAACTCAAGCAAAGTATGACAGCACATCTGCAGCAAAAATTAAGTCAGTAAGCCTAGGTTTAATGAAGATAACTTCTCACATTTTTGTTGAAATAAGTATTAGTTCAGACTGACACAGGAAGAAGTCTCAAGGGTTCACCCATTACATCTGTAATAATTGTGGCAACAAAACTGCTAAAGGGGGGAAACAACCTGTTCGATCTAGTCTAGGCCATTCCCTGGCAAAGTCAGGATGTAGTCCCTTGATACAGGACATACAAAATGTTAAGATGACATTACAGAAATCCAAGAAGAAGCAGTTGTCCTTGTGCCTATATGTCTCTGGGCTGATTGTAATGGGGAGAGGAGGTGGGAAGGACAAGTTTGGACAAAATCAACTCTTTGCTGGGGTTTGACTATTTTTAATTGAGATCTTTACCATTGGATTCACCAATTCATTTGTCAATTGGGCCTTCAATCCCTAAATCCACACCTTCTCAGAATCTGTGCCTTGTTCATTAAAGGCCAGAACTGGAGCTGAGAAGTTTTGTTTCCTACATCTGGCTAAACAGAGTTAAGGTTCAAGCCAGGAACATTCAGTTGTTAGTGATGTAATGTGTGGCAGAGGCAGCTGTCTTTGTTTTTTTTTCCTGAGAAGAAAGAAGGGAGGTGCAGCTGGAAAAGGGGGAAGCTAAAGAAAAGCAAGACAACTATACAAACGTTTAATGGAGACGAAAGGGAATAAATCTATAATAATGATTAGTTAGGCGGATATGATTTAATGAGGAAACAGAAGAGTTAATTCACGCCGATAGTGGAAAAATGGGACAGCCAGGAGGAGAGCCTACTTGAGTTATATTTGAGAGAGCTTAGGAAATTGGAAATGAAAAAGAAAATGACAGATGATCTCCTATACCAGGGGTTCTCAACCTTTTTCTTTCTTTCTGAGGCCCCCCCAAACATGCTATAAAAACTGCACGGCCCACCTGTGCCACAATAACTGGTTTTCTGCATATAAAAGCCAGGGCTGGCATTAAAGGGTAGCAAGCAGGGCAATTGTCCAGGGCCCTATGCCACATGGGCCCTGTGAAGCTAAGTTGCTCAGGTTTCTGCTTCAGCCCCGGGTGGTGGGGCTCAGGGCCTCAGGCTTCAGCCCCATGCAGTGGGACTCCAGCTTTCTGCCCTGGGCCCCAGCAAGTGTAACACTGGTCCTGCTTGGCGGACCCCCTGAAACCTGCTTGTGGCCCCCCAGGAGCCCCGGACCCCTAGTTGAGAACCACTGCCCTATACTAACCCTAAAGCAGCCATCTATCACTCTGTCAGCTAGGATTTTGTGGCTGTTGAGGATGTGTTTATGTTTATGGATTTAGTAAACTGTTCCTGAAGGGAGGAATGCTTCATATATCAGAAAGAAGAGGGGGAAATTCAAAACAAAGTCATATTGAACTGAAAAATGGAAACACTTCATTTCAATTTTCAAAAAAAAAAAAATTTCCAGCTGAAACGGTTCAGTGAAACGGACATGATTTTTTGCAAAGCATTTTGGTGTTGCCAAATTTGCATTTTTTCCATGGAAAAAAATGTGGCTGAAAAAGGTTGCCCAGCTCTAGTTGGGATTTAACTTGCTGTTCTGTGCATCATCATCAGACCATAGGAAGGAGGGCATTTAACACCAGAAGGAGAGCATTAGAACTTCAGCACACTTTGATACTGTACTTTTAATGCAGAAAATTCATTAAAACTGAAGATGCATTGTATCCAAAACAATTTAGATTGGATAAATTCAAGACAAAATAACATTATTTGACAATTAGTCTTCAAAGCCATTAATGCTTGTAAAGAACCACCTAATGGAATATTTAGTGGGGAACTGAGCTAACAGGGAGTGGTTTACTCATGGAAACAATTATAGGGCTTAGTTACTGGGGACATTAGAAATATTTTCTTTTATTTCTCCAATTTCATGCAATCTCATAAATTCAGTGGTAGAATAAGAGTGTCTGGGCTGATGTAAATGCTCTTAAAGTAGGGAAACCACCAAGACAGTGTGGTGGTGTTTACAGGAGCAATGGGAGTACACTTTAGTGTTCAGATATTTTAAAATCCATGAAAAAATCAGACTAAAGTAGCATAATTACATTATAAAAAAATTCTAATATGAATGAAGCTATAATGAAATTTTTAGTATTTACAGTAAAGCAAGTGTTCTGTTTTGTGTCTGCAAATGTTATAAGGACAAAATTAAGACTGACTGTAAAGATACAGTATATGTAGTATAGTTGTGGCTATGTCAGTCCCAGGATATTAGAGACAAGGTGAGTAAGGTAACTTCAGTTGGTGGGAGAGACAAGCTTTCAAACCACAAAGAGCTCTTCAGGTCTGGAAAAGGTTCTCTTTACTGGAGCATCACCCATTAATGGGCCACTCTACCTTGAATGGTCTCCTAGAATATGCGCTAACTGCTTAATGGTAAACAATCTGTTCCACCTTGCATTTAGATGTGAAGCTTGGAGTATCTTTCCCAGACCTGAAGAGTTCTGTGTTGCCCAAAAGCTTCTCTTCCCACCAGAAGTTGGTGCAGTAAAAGATATTACCTCACTCACTTTGGCTATGTCTACACTACGAACCTTACAGCGGCACAGCTGTACTCCTGCAGCTGCCTTGATGTAAGGTCTCCCATGTAGCTGCTCTATGCCAGCGGGCCCGTGGAGTGTCCTCCTTTTGGACACTCAAAATATGGTAACCCTACCCAATGAGCAGTGGGAGGGAGTCTCAGTGCACATAACGCTGTGCATGTTGGCACTTTTGTTGGTGAAACTGATGTCGCTCGGGAGGTGGGGTTTTTTTCCACGCTTCTGACCGATGATAAGTTTTGTCGACAAAAGTGCTAGTGTAGACAAAGCCTTTGTCTCTGTAGAGAAATATGGAATTCAACTTTTCTAAGTCCACACACTCTTGGGGGAGGGGGCAGGGCTTAAGCGACAATTTGGATGCTTAGATGCTTTTCCCGGCTCTACAAACCTAATTAGGGTGACCAGATGTCCCGATTTTATAGGGATGGTCCCGATTTTTGGGTCTTTTTCTTATATAGGCTCCTATTACCCCCCACCTCCATCCCGATTTTTCACACTTGCTGTCTGGTCACCCTAAACCTAATCCAAGTTAAAACATGAATTTAAAATCTAAACGTGTTGAACAATGTCTATTTCTTAAAAAGGGGAACATTTCCTCCAGCATTTTGTTTTTGAAGAATAGTTCTTCTGACCAGTCTTGTATCCTGCCACATATACATACACTCACCCTATCACAGTTTAGAACTGCTTTGTAAAAGCTTGTTCTCCCATAAGACGAGGTAAGTAATTAATTTTTTTACAGTGGCTTTTTTGTCATCATAAAGGTGAGCAGGTCTTTTTCCTGAGCCAGTTTAAGCCACATTTGCTGTGTAATGGTTCAGTTCTCTTGTAGATTAAGTCAGCTGACCACCAGAGATAAAACATTGCAGCATAAGTCAGTTTTGAACCGATTTGGGGTAATTATCACTTTGCTTGAAGTACAGTACAGATATTTGAAAATGTACTCTTGGTTAATTGTACAGACTTGAACTAGACCACTCTGGGAATCTGTCAATATTAAATTGTTCAAGCTTTTCAAGTAGAAGCCATGTATTGTGGTAAGACTATTATGGAAGCCACCTGGATTTTGTGACTGAGGAGTTGTGTGTGCATGAACACAGTGCTGCATAACCATATCATCAGATAGAACATGGGCTGCTATCACTTTACTAAAAAAAACGACGATGAGGAGTCCTTGTGGCACCTTAGAGAAGTCTTAGAGAAGGTGCAACAAGGACTCCTCGTTGTTTTTGCTGATACAGACTAACATGGCTACCACTCTGAAACCTATCACTTTACTAGGCACTTTATAATCTTGTCGAATTTCCCCCTAACCTCTAAAGGGAATTATACCCCTAAAAATAGGGAAAATGAAGGGAGATCATTGCCTCAGCTATCTGTTAGGAAAGAACAGCATTTAAGGGCAAGTCCAACCCCCTTCTCCCTCTTCTGTGGATGCAGAGGTCCCCTTAGAAGCAGAAATGTTACAGGGTAAAGGGTTCTAGGGACAGTCCAGGGATGTGTGTACCCTCATGTGACATGGAGCCCAATTCCAAGGGGCCTGCTTGTGCAGCAGTATGCATGAGGCATGTAAGGACATAGAA